AAGAAGTCTAAGAGGACAATAACCAAGTCAATATGTCTGAAGTCCATCAAAACAATTAACAAAGCTAAAAGGAGATCAAGATTCAAGGTACAATGGAAGAACCTAAGTTCAAGACCCCACAAATAGTATATTTATAGGACTTAGACTCAAATTTAAAGATAGTTTATCAAAATTGCATGAATGAGCTCAAAGGGTTTCTTTCTTTTGTAGTGTTAAACATATCTTTTAGATTGCATGATTCATAGTTTTTAAATTCTTGAAAATGATTTGAAAACCCGTGAAAAATGTTCTTAACATGTCTTAGAACCTTGAAATATTTTTCCAAGTCAAGAACATGCTTATGGGAAGGTTTGAAGGCATGAATCCAAGGTATACCAATTTGGACTGCATAATTTGTTGTTGTCATGAAGGGATTTGAATTCCCTCCCTGTTTGGCATTCAAATTCTTCGTTGTTAGTTGAAGGAATTTGATTCCGTTACAAAAAGGATTTGAATCATTCACTATTATTTAAAGTGATTTGAATCGTTTACGAAGAGGATTCGAAGCCTTACTAGCCAATAAGTCTTGTAAAGGCTAGTAACGACTATATTTTAACAAAAACTTATATATACTAATCTATTACGCCTCTAACCACTTCTAATCACTATTCCATTAATTATTCAGTTTTAATTGATTGATTTCATTACACCTTCTTTCTTTTCATTCATTGATTCATTCTCTTGATCATTTATTACCTTTGAGCTTCATTCTTAATATGCATCATTACCAATAGGTTTTAGCATGTATTATTTGTACTTTGAGAGTACATAGTCATTGTTAAACTCTTTCCCATTGTATTCTTGAGTTAAAGGGGTTTTGAGACCCATTATATTTGAGAGGTAACTAAATATCTAGGTAAATTTGGAGTGAAGTATAAGGTTGCCAAGTACCCGTAAACTTGTTGGATTGTAGACGTTTATCGAGCACCCATGAAACTTGACCATTGGTGAAAAACTTGATTGTGTGCCTTTTCAATTTGAGCGTAGGTCATAAGTGGTGGTGATTGTATCAGATATATTTAGTTTGTAATTTCTCTAACTCTCAACTCTTTATTTTAGCTTTAAATTGTTATATTTGATCGTAATTGCTTGTTCATTAGTTTATATATTAATCATACACTTGTATCTTCATTTGCAATTAATTGTGCTATTGAAGAAATATTTTTTTCAAAATATCAAAGGAAACATTATGTAAAAGAATTTTGTAAAACTGAATTCACCTCACTCTTAGTTTTGAAGTCACTTATCTAACATTTTCCCACATTCGTTTCTCACCTTATTCTACCTTAACTCATACTAAATTTGTTGCAGCGAACACTTTTTATTCACATTCTTTCTCTCTAATTTTCTCCATTTCTTCTCCGTTTTCGCCATTTCCTTCCGTTTCTAAACTTCACAGTCTCTAATAAAGCTTTCGATTCAAATTCGTTTGGATTCAAGTTTCATCTTGTAGTGTTAATTGATTTTCATTCTCGTTTTTGGTGTTACTCTTAAATTTATTTTATTGGGCGCCTTGAACTTATGATCTGTCATTTTTGTGCTTAGATTTTGCCATGTGCTATTTGTTTTGTGATGCGGATGCCATGTCATTTTGATTTTAACATTTAGGTGATGAGTGTGATTTAGGTTTGTTGGTTGAGCATTTCATGAATCTCAAGCTGGTTTAATTTCTACAATGCTAATTTGTTAGAATGAAATTATTCTTTTATGAAAAATAAAAAAAGAAGACTGATGATAATAAACCTGTTAGTTTGTCATTAAAGTCAAAATCATAACTTATTAAAATATTTTTAATTTACTGAAATATTCATGGAACTTCTAATTTTTAATTTAGAGAACAAAAATTGCAAGAATTTAGTCCATAAGAAATTTTCATTATATTTTTTTCATATTGGGGTAAAAGATAATGAGTGCTCTATAAGTTTTTATGGTAGATCTCTATAACCATGCTCGTGATAAATGAAATTTAAGAATGTAATATTTGATTAGTTGGAAAACAATTTTTTTGTATACAGCAAAGTCTAGATACATTGTCATTTTTTATTTTAATCTAGACTTTTACTAATGTCTTATTTTATATATATATATATATATATATATATATATATATATATATATTTGGTAAAAGAAAGGGCAAAGCCCCAACAAAGAAAGAAAAAACAAAAAAAACTAATCTAAAATTACTGAAACTCTACGAGGCCTACTGCCACCAGCCATATTAGCTTGAAGCAGGAGACTAATACCAGGAGGAGGGTCTTCAAACCACATGAAGTTTTCATGCACCCTATAATTAACACCCAAGTTAGCAAGTCAATCCGCATAAGAATTACCCTCTCTGAAAGTGTGAGTTGCACGGATCTGCCAGTCCTTTGAAAGCCATGCCCTTATACGAGTCAAGAGGTGAGACTCAAGAGTTGCATCACCTTTTTCAGTGAGCATAGTGATTACACTACTAAATCACTTTCCAGAATAATTTTTTTCCAACCCTTAGACCAAGTTGTTTCCAATCCCTTGAGGACTCCCAACAATTCTGCCATATATGCGTGGCATATTCCGATGTTGTAAGCAAAGCCCCCCAACCAACGCCCTGACATATCTCTAAAAAAACCTCCACAGCCAGCCTTACCAGGACTACCCCGAGCAGCCCCATCAGTATTTAGTTTGATCCAACCAACCTCTGGAACAACTCATCGATAAAACTTCACACCATACTGATTAATGAGTCTGTCATTCTTTGAATTCAACCAGCATTGATGGAAATATGTGGCAGTCTTCCTTATTGTTTGAAGTTTTATGTGACCATCCACCAATTGATTTTGATGAACTTTAAGATTATGCCAAAACCAAGCTTACCAGTAGGTGCATAAAAACAAAGTTATCCAAGGGATATTATAGATAGATGGTTTATCGCTATCTAAATTATAATTCAACCAATCAAAAAGGTCCCCTTCAAAGAAAATATTCCAAAATTTCAAAGGAATGCAGTGCTTCCATATTCCTTTAATCACGGTGCAATCCCCCAAGGCATGTAAAACAAATTCACTATGTTCAGAACACATCGGACAAAGAGGATTTTGATCCCCCCCAAATACTAGCCCATTCTTTAGTGGGAACCCGACCATGCAAAAGTTTCCAAGCAAAAATTTTCAATTTTTGAGGCCCTTTCCAAAGCCATACCTTCATCCATGGTTTACCCAAATCATCATCACTATGGTATTGCCTGTAGAAACTGTCATAGAATCCTCTTACAGATCCTTCCTTTAACTCTTGAAAGCACCACTTCATACGATTAGCTCCATCATCAACGCAAGGCGGAAGGTAACTCTTTATTCTGAGTATTGTTTTCGTCGATAAAAAGTGATTACACCTAGGGGTGTAAATGGGCCTGGCTGGCCTGGCACGGCCTACAGCCCGGCCTGCGATGAGCCTGGACTGGCCTGGCCTTTATACATAATAGAGTAGGCTTAGGCTATTAAGAGAGCCTTTTTAGTAAATAGGCCATAGGCCAATTAAGTCAAGCCTGGCCTAAAGCCTTGTAGGCTGGCCTACTTAATTTATTAAAATAAAATAATTTTTTTATTCTAGGTGGCTAACTGGCTAAGCACTTTCAAGTCCAACCCTAATTTCATTTCGTGCAGCGCCGCTTCTCATCTTCTTCTCACGTCTTCAGTGTCTTCTTCTCGTTCTCAGTTCTCACGCTCATTTCTCAGTTTCCTCCTTCTCTTCGACGTGCTTGTAAGTTGTCGCCGGCCATTTCCAACAAAATCTGTTTAGGTACGCTCTCTCTCTCCCCTCTATTTCTCCTAATCTTTTTCTTTCTCTCCCAAAAGCCCACTTTCGTGATCTTCTTTATGGTACACAGAACTTGAAGAACCATCCTTTTTCTGTGTGCGTGCGAAATCGAAGGAGCAACAAGGTTGAGTGTACTCCTTCTCTCTATTTTCTTCAACGAATTTTACAGATTGTGGGTAAGAACTTTTCTTCCCTCTTCTATTTTTTTGGATTTTATGGTATAAAGATAAAAATTAAATGGGGAGTGCTGCATGTAGGGGAGAGACAGAGAGTGGTGTTTGTCATCGGTTATTGTTTGGTGTACTTTACTAAAATCAATTTCCCTCTGTTTGGAATGAGTTTCTGCACTTTGCTCCGTGACTCTCTACACTCTGTACTCTGACATTCATCATAGAGCATGAAAATGCAGTAATCAGGAATCACAAACCAGCATATATCCATTTTTTAAAATTAAATTGAAAATGTATTGTGATTTTTACTAACTAAAACTTAAGAGTAGAAATACTCTTATTTTCTTACTTTATAGACAAATTAATTTAGAGTACGCTGATATTAGGATTTAAGATTTTAACTCGGTCTGTATGTTACAAATCCAAGTTAACAAATATTTAAATATGGCATCTGCATTTTTTTGGCGTAACTCATCTAAAGTTTTCTCGCCTTTATGTTCCTATCTTAATTCAATTTTCATTATGGCTGTTTTTGCTGCATGTGGAAGGCACTGGCTAGAGAGTAACCGCAAGCTTGGTTGACCATTCAATTGTTGTTTATCTGTTTTGTACATAGTTGATGTCATATTTTTATTGTTGTTTTTTTTACAACTAAATGATCACTGATTCAATGCAAGTCTGCAACCTTCACTGAATCATTAATGTTTACATAGTCTAATCTCCTCCAAATTGGTTAGAAGAGGCCCCAGATTTGCTTCAGGATTTTTTTTAGCAGATCTTGTTTTTGTTCACTGAAATTTGTTTAGTTAAACCTTCACATCTAAAGGCTTTCCTGGCTATATATATAGTTTTGTAATTTGGGTTTTTTTTTTGGATAGCTGTAATTTGGGTTTCTATTTGGTGCTGCCAATAAATATATTTGTCTCATTATATATGTCTCATCTCTCACCAGGTTTGTGATTGCTCTGTTTTTTGTACCTTTTTTTATAGGCATAGAAAATGGACTCTACTCCAAGTGCAAGTGGTAATGCTATTGTTAGCGTACCAAGTGACCCCAATCAACCTCAAGTAAGGAATGAACAAGAAGAAGAAGTAACTGATAGTGCTATAGCTGCTACTGATTCTGTAGTTGCAGCAGATTCTGCAGCTGCACCAGATTCTGCAGCTGCTGGTGATAGTGAAAATTCAGTCATAGAAAAAAAAAGGCGAAAAACACCAACTGTTTGGAATGAGTTTCATGAAGTTACTCTCCCCAATGGTCAACGAAAAGCAGTTTGCAATTATTGCAAAGCTAAATTTGCTACGGGTGGGTGTGGAGCTAGCACTAGCCACTTGAGGAGGCATTCAGAAAGTTGCTTGAGAAGGAAAATAGACCAATCACGACTAAAGCAGTCAACAATATCATTTCAACCTACAAGTTCTGCCTTGAACCCTTTCCTTACGCCAGGAGGTAAGTATTCTAATCTAAAGATGAGAGAAATTATTGCTACTGCTATCATGGTACATAAGTATCCTTTTAGCATTGTAAAGGACACTGTTTGGATGTGGGCTTTTAAGTTTGCAAATCCTGATTTTGAGAAAGTTTCACGTCAAACAATAAAAAGTGATTGCATGGCAATATATCAGGCAGAAAAGAAGTGTCTTAAGGCTGAATTAATGAATGTGAATAGGAGTAGTATAACCACTGATATGTGGAGATCTAATCACCAAGTTGCTGAGTATATGGTCATCACTGGCCATTATATTGATTCAGAATGGAAATTACAAAAAAGAGTGTTAAGTTTTATCAAAGTGCCACCTCCAAGACGTGGGGTTGATGTTGCTGATGCAATATTCAAATGTCTGGAATCATGGGTGTTGGACGTTTAGCAAGTGCACTAGTCGTACAAGTAATAAAATGATGAGTAAAGATCGTTCCCACGAGGAATTGTGTTCAAACACCAATATACCATAGAAAACTAATTTGAATCAAATAAGAGTTTGTAAAAATCATGAATAATTTGTCACCAGAAAATTGATTGTAAGTAATTTGACACAAAGTAAATATGGATTAGGAATTAATAAAAACAACAAGTAGTCAGAAAACAACTTTCCTCCATGATAACCCATATAAAAATTGATCATATGATGAATTTGTTTCCATGTGATGTTAATCAACCTTTTACTTATCATCAAGATGTAATCCCTTACTACCCTGATAGATACATTAATCAGAAACCCCAATCCCTTGGTGATCCCTTTCTTAATACATGCATTAATTACTAAGGTCTTAAGATCACATCAGAATCCTAGCATCAATCCCTTGACTACTAGAATTCTGATGTTGAGATTATCAAATACAGAAGTCATATAAACATCCATGTTCTATACTACTTCTTTGATAGAAATAATTAACTCAGAAAATCTCAAATCAACACATGAAAAATACTTTATCATATTAATCAAATCAACATAATATTATCATGGAGTTCCATTGCATTCAGACTACAAAGACTCTACTCAGACATGACTAAGGAATAAATAAGAGAAGAAGAAACAAACTTCATTTCCATGTTGAAAGTCTTCAATCTCCAAACTATTACAAGGAAATCCTAATACAAAAACTAAGAGAATTTAGAGAGAAGTCAGACTAAATTTAAGAGAGAGAGAGAGTTCAGATCCCCCAGATTCTGATCTAAGTGTCAAGGCTTTGCCTTATATAGTGTTACAATTAAAAACAGAAAACTGATGTGGGCGCTAAAACGTCCATAAGTGGCCGTTTTAGCGTCCATGCTTTACGTATGCTCAACTGCTTTTAACTGATTTCAACGCTAAAACGTTAAGGAATGACCGTTTTAGCGTCCAAACTTGGTGAATGCTCAACTAACTTTAACTGACTCCAACGCTAAAACGTTTGATTTGGACGTTTTAGCGGTGAAGACCAGAATCTTTTTCCACTTTAGGGCGCTAAAACGCATATTGCAGGCCGTTTTAGCGCCCAAGACCAGCAATTTTCCATCTTCTTAGTGTAGCAGCGCGCTAAAACGCTCTGTGTGGACGTTTTAGCGCTCATCACCAGCAAGTTTTGGCCTCTTCCTGTAACAGGGCGCTAAAACGCTCAGTGTGGACGTTTTAGCGCTCAACACTTAGGCAATTTTTCTCCTCTTGAGCTCCAGAATCTTCTTCCTTCTCCAGTTGTCTTTCAAGCTTGCTTTTCCTACAAGAATCATACAAATTTCCAATAAAGCTCTTGAACTTGTAATTGAGGACATCTTAGGACATTAACCTTGTTTTTCATCATTTAATCAAACAATTTGATCCTAATTCCTACTAAAAACCATGATGAACTAAGGGTTCATCACAATTCCCAGATTTGAATATTGTTGTCCTCAGCAATAACTTTAAAGACAGAGAAAGACTTGAGATTCTTTACACATGAAATTTATGAGGTTGGATTGAAATATGACAGATCAACTTTCCAAGATACAATCTAACAACCCAGCAATCTATCTTTTACTATGACTTGCTTAACCTCATTACAATGACTTTCAACAGATCAGTAAGATGAAATGCAGAGACCTTCAACACAAAACACCCCCTCACTTGGAACTTCTCAAAAATTGTGAGAATAAACTCTCTTGCACTCTAGTGTCTAAGGGTGTACTCATCACTCAATCTCCACTGCACTCAAACTACTATAAGCTTGCCCGTCTTCTCACTTTCCATAGTGATAGTGATTCATAAGCAGAACAAAAGAGGCTTTTGGTGGTATGACTTGACTAAGAATAGGATTCTGTATAGAAGAAGGAAAAATGGCTTGGCATGTAGTTGGCTAAAGGTAGGATTTGATGTTGCAGAAGGTTAGATAGATGGATCAGATTCAGATAAGAGGAGGATCTCTATTGAATTTATCTATGTACTCCTTAATCCTTCTCATTCTCTTCTTCCTTTTCATTTACTCTTTTCACCACCTTTTCTACAACTTTTCTTTTTCTTGAACTTCCTTCCTCCTTTTCTTCCAACTTTCAACACTTTGTGTTGTTTTGATTTCCCTTTTTCCTCATTTCCTTTTTCTTTTCCTTTTCCTTTTCCAAACCAAGCACTTTGTGCCTTTACTTCCTCATTTCCCCCTTTTTTTTATTGCATTCTTCTTTTTCTCCAAATTTCCAACACTTAACACTTAATATTTTTGTTCATTGCAGAAACACCTTTCTCCTACATAGCTTTCCTCCTTACCCCTTATCTGAACACATAATCTGAATATTTAGGATCTGGAATAAGTGCAGGGCTCTTAGTTTTATCACAAAAATTTTGGCTTAAGGCTTCCATGCAATAAGAAAATTTGGTTCAAAAGAAAAATGCCTCAATGAGCTCTACTTTACAAACCATGAACTATTTCAAGTTAGAAACAGGGCAAGTTCTAGAGTTACTCATACAGTGAAGTGCTCTCTGAACAAAAAAAATTCTGTATAGGCTCAATGTCTCACAGTTCAGAGTGCATGCTTGAATTCCTCTATATACATCAACCTGATCTCTCTACTCCTCACATAACATGAGTCATGCAAACATATCATTTAGCACATATGCAAGGATTTCAAATTGCATCAAAAATGTTTAATCCATCATGTAAAACTTTGATCATCCTATCCTCATAAAATTCACATCATCTCAACTCTAAATCCAACCTTTGTACATATAAAACACTTCCTAAACTACCTAAAACTATATTCACAGGAATTTAAAAGAAAGGATTGAGATGTTTCCCTGTTTGTGGCTCATCAACTGTGTGTCATCATCAACTGTGTGATACCACCATAATCATGTCATTCATTCACACCCCATTCCCAGATTTAAACGTTGCTGTCCCCAGCAACTAATTTAAATCTAAAAAGCAGTTGACAAATTCTGAAACACATTCACATATCAACAAATAGCATCAGTACTATTTCAAAAGTGCATCATTCAAACAGAGAATCTCAATGTACTAACAAATATACAAAATGAAAATAATACCACAAGCAACTAAAAATATCCAAAATAAAACCATAAAAACAGAAAATGTATAAAAACAAAATGAGAAGTCTAGTCAGTAGACTCTTCATCATCACTAAACACCAAATATGAGCCTGGATCAGCAGTAGGCAAGGGGTTGTACTCAGGATCAATACCCCTGTCCTCATCCATAGCACCAGTATCAGCAGCAGCAGCAGCAGTGGTCTCTGTGGTAGTAGCATCAACACCAGGCTGTCTCTCTGGAGTGGGTGCAGCATGGGAAGATGTAGCACCATCAGCAGGCGCAGCTCCATCCACATGATCAGCATAATGAGTCCGGGCCATTGCCTCAAAGGCTTCCTCCTCATCAGAATGAGGGTATACAGCAGGCTGGTAATCAATAACATCTAAGCCCTGAGCCTCACATATAGATTTCAACATCGTCACCATATATGTCTGAAATGAGTGCTGGCTGGACTGCATAAACCGGAGACGCCTGCGCAAATGTCTCATTCGGAAGTCAGTGTTCACCGTCCATTGCTCCCCTGACCTTAGCCTCTCTTCGAATTCATCATCACTCTGAGTTGTAGATTTCCTACCAGGAGTCAATCCTGTGACCTCCCCTCCTCCTATCTTCAATTGCTTTGTTATCATTGCGGCATCAATTGTAGGGTGCAATTTAGTTGGTGCCCCATTATCAGTAACATCTACACCAGCTTTCTGACAAAGCAACTGAATCAAGGAACAGTGACCCAAAGCAGCAGAGTCACTGTCAGAGTGAGCCATATCATAAATGTTGTCCTGAAGGAGAATAGGAAGTTCCACCTTCGCCCTTGTCATGATAGTGTGAATCAGGACAGCTCTCTTCAGGATAACCTCTGCCTGGTTGGAAGAGGGCATGACATTTGAGATTACAAAGTGAAACCAGACTCTAGCCTCACCATTTAAATGCCTCAACCAAATCAACTTAGGAGCAACCTTATCCTTGGTTAACTCCCAAGTTTCACCAGGTTTGGCTATAGTCTGCAAAATAGGCTCAGCTGCCCCCATCTTGGTCCAGGTGTCAAAGTTTGGGTCACTTCTCCTTGGTGGAATTTCAATATTCTGCCAGTTTCTCCTGAACTCACAACTGGCATTGTGGATATAGTCACAGAACCTTATCTTCAGCAGCTTTTGGATGGTGTGAGCATCATACTTCACTTTCTTTCCCCTCACCCAGCTAGTGAAGGTCCTCTGGCCTCCTTGATCTCCATTAAATGCATTAGCAAAGAATTCCCTTGCTATGTTAGGACTGCTATCACCCAATATTCTTCCAAAAGTTGCCCAATCCCTGGTCTTCAGCTGAGACTGAAACTGAGGATATTCATCCTGTTCTAGAACAAATTTTCTTTCTCTCACAAATGGCCTCTTGGAAGTCTTGTCAGTATACCGTTTCTCATGTTCCTCACTTTTCCAAAAGTGAGCATCAAACTGTGGGGTAGGCTCAGCTTCAGTATCTCCTCCTTGATTCACTCGTGCTCGCTTCTTATATCTCTTTTTCCCTTTTGTAGCAGGAGCTGGTTGAGAAGGAGAAGACATTGTGCCTACACAACAAGAGAAAATCAGTCTAAATGTCAAACAATTACATATCATGAATCCAATTCCACAATTCCCAGATTTAGAACTCTTGTAGTGGGGAATTTGGATCAAAACATGTATGAATTACAACCCCACAATGCCATAATGTAGACCCTCAATTTTGTATGAAACAGGGCCTGGGCGCTAAAACGGTCACACTGAGCGTTTTAGCGTCCTGACCTTAACCGTGTGTAAAAACTGGACGGGCGCTAAAACGGTCACACTGAGCGTTTTAGCGCTAGACCTTAAACGTGTGTAAAAACTGGACGGGCGCTAAAACG